TGGTGTCGGGGTTGCTGGGCTAGGGGTGGCGGCGTTGGGGAGGATGGGAATACTGGTCTGGGCTGGAGAGCGGAGGGGCTGAGGTGCCTGGGGAGAGGGTGCAGGGGAGACTGGGCGTGGGAACTGGTGACACTGGTGTTAGATTGGAGAGAGGGATGCTTGGGGGTGCTAGGATCAGGAGGAGGATGCTGGAGACTGCCAATGGTGGGGTGCACGTAGCAGGAGCTGGTGGTGCTGGGCCTGGGGGTGGTGTGGAGGCTGGTAGGACGGGAGGTGTGGGGACTGGGGAGGCAGATGTTTGAGGGTAATGGAGGTCGTGGGAGTCGGAGAATGATGGGGGTGTTGGGGGTGCTGAGATTGGGGTGCTTCTAGCAGAAGTGGGGAGTGCTGGAGAGGAACAGGGAGTGCCCCTCTTGGTTGCTGTGGGAGACTGGGAATAGCCGATGTATTGAGGTTGGGGAGCCTGCGTGTACTGGGAATGCTGAGACTGAAGGTATAGGGGAAGGCCTGTGGGCTGGGCCTGGCAGGTAGGCTTACCCCCAGGTCTCTCTTTGATCCCTCCCCAGATTGCAAAGGAGGTGGCGAAACTGCTGGAGATGAAGGCGCAGCTGGGGGGAGATGAGGGGAAACACAAGTTTGTGCTCAAGACCCCGAAGGTAACTTCCCCCAGCACACGCACTCACGTGCTGCTCCATATGCACGACCTACTCCCATGCACACACAGAGCACCCCCCAGGCACCTGTGTGTGCAGAATCCCAGCACCGACTTGCCTGTCTTTCTTCTCATTTCTGTTTCCCTTTTTCCTTTTAGCAGCAGGGGAGAGAGGGGTGAAAACATCCCTGACAGCATCCGACCCAGATACCCTACTAACTTAAAGACTTTCTGGTGCTTCTGTGATAAGCTAACCACTAGCTGGTGTGGTCAGGAAATTAAATTCCCTTTTGGTCAAGCTTTATCGTAGCTGCCCAGCGTGAGAGGTCTCATATCTGCTTGGATTGCGCTGTTTGAAGTAAGGTCATGACTTGCGTTGCCCCGATGAGTTTAGAGTTAGGACTCTTCAGCTCTCGTAGCATTGACCCCACTAGTACCTGCAGACGTTGGCTTTCATGGATCAAGGATCCTCAAGCTGGTCATGTTCCCTGTTAACCTGGACAGAGTGGATGAAGCTGCTGGTAGGTCGGGTGAGCACAGAGTGCTGCGAAGTGCAGCTCTGCTGGTGCAAGGCTCATCGTGGGGGAGCTGCAAAGCATAAGCCAGCCAAAGAAACCCAGATGCCCGGCAGTGTTTGCCAGGAACGTTCAGCACGTGTTGAAATGTGGGGAGCAAGAAAGGTCTCATGGCTTTTGATCTTGCCTGAGTCTGTGAGGTGGGTAATCCCGTTTACTGAGCAGGTCTGGCCAGCTGCTGACATTTCTGTGTCCTCTTGCAGAAGGACCCTTCCTTCAGGGGTAGCTTTTCAGTCTCCAGGCCCCTGAGAATAGTGTCCATAATGCAATTTATGCTGAAATTTTTTGTAACCTGAATGTTTCATCACTAGCAGGTGAACAGAGACCAACTGTGCTTCCATGCTGTGGTGTGGAGACAGTTATGAATGTTGCTCACAAATAAAACAGGTTATGTTAATGCCACTGACTTAGGAAACGTCTCAAAACTGTCTCCCTTGTTCATTTCCTTTACCATATGTTTCGGTAAATGTAATTGTGGTGTGAGACCTGGAAAGTGGAAGGGTATTTCACTGTTTAAAGATGTGGAGAGAGGATTTTGCAGCTCTGTGAGTGCCAGGGAAACATAGCTTGGGTTTCCAGTCTGTCTCAGCCACGTCAGTGTACTGCTGAAAGCTGCTCTTTGCTGTGCGACCTGCAGGTGGGGTGTTATGAAGTGCCTGCTCTCTCTGCTTCCTCCTGACTAACTGCCAGTCCCTAGAAAATGAAAGTGGGAGGTCTAGTTTATTAACAGTGATTTAAGTGTTGCCGAGAGCCTAAAGATGGTCATCGAAATAATTCAGTGACTCTTGACAGCGAAGAAATTGAAAGGGAGCACATCCCAGTGAACAGTAGATGGGCACTTTGAAAAGATGATTTATCTCTGTGTGTGTTTGGAAATTGTAGAGCTGCTCGTTGTTCCACAGCTTCAAAGCGTGCCTGTCCTCTGATTCCACCTCTCAGGGTGGCTCGTTGTGCAGGGCTCTGGCTGATATGTCTGAATCAGAGCTGTGGACAGGTCCTAGCTGCGCTGTCATGCTCGAAAGCACTGAACTCTCTGACTGGTGGATCTGTGTTTAGCTCCTTTGTTTCCTGCATCGTGAAACTCCTGACTTAGATTTAGCTCTGCAGACCATGGCAGATCGTGTCTGAGCTGTGTCCTGATGCTTTCCAGTGTTTTTTGGTGCTGCTTTTTACCACCTCTACCAATATCTGGTGTCTGGACCTGATCTCTCTGGTTTTGTTAGCAGTATGATAGCTTTTTCACATTGCCTTTCACATCTGTCTCCACTGCATCCCTCTAACCCAATGTGTCCTTTGCTCTTCTTTTCCTTATCTCACCCCAGGGCACGCGGGACTACAGCCCCAAGCAAATGGCCATTCGTGAGAGAGTCTTCAATGCGATCATCACCTGCTTCAAGCGCCATGGAGCAGAAGTCATTGATACGCCGGTGTTCGAGCTGAAGGTGTGTGAGGACACAGCAAGTTGGCTGTGTGATCCTGCAGTTGAAAGCTTGCGATCTGTTGAGGGCTGAGTTTTCTTCTTCCACCTCCTAGGTGTCCTCCCTTTCTCTCCTTGTTTTCTGTGTGCTCTGGGGCTGATCCCCTGTCACTGAAGATGCTGTTTGTTCGTGTGTCCTTTTGTTGTAGGAGACGCTGACAGGGAAATATGGTGAAGACTCGAAGCTCATCTACGATCTGAAAGATCAAGGAGGAGAGCTGCTGTCCCTGCGCTACGACCTGACAGTATCCTGCACAGCCAGTGCTGAGGGGTCTTGTCACCTTTGCTGCCCTCCTTTTGGGGCAGTGCTGTCCAGAGGGCAAGGGAGGAGGAGGGAGGACAGTCTCTTGGCTCTGACCCCGTACCAACACGGAGAGCGTGAGCAGGCAGTGTGGTTCAGTGGGTGCAGAACCCTTGCTCAGTTACTTACTGTATGTTGCTTCTGTTTGGCAAAGTAACGCTTGTATGTGGAGGTAAGGAAGATCGGTATTGAGTGGGGTTTCTCCTACAGCAGGGTACCCAGACGAGGCTGCTGCTGTACACAGCCCGCGTGAGACTGAGATCCAGCCTAAGGTGGTGCTGGAGGATGCCTGTAGGGACGCTTAATGGCAGCATGTGTGGGCCGTGTCTTGGACAGTTGTGGAGACCTTGGGGAGCTGTGGCAAGTCCAGCTGTCTCTTAGCAGTTGCTTTGCCCCACACTGTGCTGGGTGTTGGGGAGATAGTGAGGACTCGGCACTGCCTGTGACTGATAACTGGGTGGGGTGATCCCTCCCCGTTCCCATCCTTAACCCTACCGTCTCAGGTGCCCTTCGCTCGCTATTTGGCGATGAACAAGATCACTAACATTAAGCGCTACCACATCGCTAAGGTCTACAGGCGGGACAACCCGGCCATGACCAGGGGCCGCTACAGGGAGTTCTACCAGTGTGTGAGTTTGGCCATTTACAGGGACGCTGCTGAGTGAGTCTGTAGGCTGGGCAGCCCTTGTGGGGACGTAGCACCATAAAAACATAGGACCAAAGGCTGTGTTACCCTGCAGTGGCCTTCCCTGTGGCTGTGGAAAGCTCAGGACGATCCACTAACCTCCTTAGCGTGCCCTTATGGGTGTGAAAAACAGCTTGGGAGTGGGAGAGTGACGACAATGGCTGTGACACAGGGTGCTGGTGTATTGGGGAACTTTGTAATACAGCGTCCGGGTGCCCCAGGTATCTGGCCTGCTTCGCGCTGTGGAGGAGAGCAGCTCCTTGCTCCATCCCACGGTGCTTGCCAGCCTGGTGGAGGGGAAGAATTTCCTTCTGATCCCAAATCTGGCAGCAGTTGAACTCCTGGGTGTGTTAGCAGGACACATGAACTAGGTGAGCGAGTGACTCAGCCGTAGCATATGCTACTTCTGTCCTGTGCTTAGT